AATGGAGGAGAAAGGATTGTGGCATAGCCATCCCCACTGGGGACTGATTTTAAATTTTCTTTCTCTCTCTCTGGTGAGGATATGTGCACTATGGCAAACAAAACACAACACTTTGTTGGTGGTCCTTCTGGCTTTCTCTGTTTCTCTCATTCACTGAATAAATAAATTAATTTATTTTTAAAAATATTATTTTTTTTAATTCATGGCAAGTTTTATATTTAAAAATGCAATATTTAAATACTCTAATAATTCTGTTGGGTTATTATATTCCCTTCCCGAATAGCAGCTCTCTCCATCACCTCCCTCCATCTCTCCTGTTTCAGAAGTAGCCACTTGCATCTCTTTTGGCTGCATATTTACTACTTACTGTCCTCTCATTCAATAAGATGCCTAGTTGTTCAAGATTGCAACTATGGCAGATTTAGCTCTTCTTTCCCCTCTCCCACGTCATCATACACGTGTCCCCATTTCAAAATCCTGTCTTCCAAATGAAGTCGGTATCATAATGTTGATTAGATCATCATTTTTCAATTATATTATTATATCTAGGTTTGTCATTAAGAGTTGCGCCTTATAGTAAAACCATGACTGCATCATTTCTGTACCAGTCAGTTTTTCTTGGAATTAATCATTGTCTTTTTTTTTTTTTTTTCCCCATTTGTCTTGTTCTCTATGTATTTTCCAACCTGAGGCTCTTTGAAAACTCTCTCAATCTCTTCCAAGATGCTCAGCTAGTTCAGGTTTTCTCTTCCTGTCCCCTTCCTGCAGCAGTGTCTTCCAGGGCCCTTGCCCGGCACAGACTGCACTCTCCACTAGGCACAGTGACTCCTAGGACCACCCTTTGTTATTCTGCCGCTTCCCCATGCATGTGTCGTGCCTGTGTTGGCTTGTCTGTCTTCCTTTCTCTTGATTTATGACTTCTTTTTGAAGCATATTATACATACTCTAGTAACTATCAGAGAATATGGTATGTAAATATGGAGGTGAAGTTTTTGGAGATTTAGGATATCTGAAAATGAATATATTGTATGTGATCTTTTCTTTTTTTTTTTTTTTAATTCTTTCTTTCTGAAAGGTTGTAGGATCTTGTCTTTGTTCACAGGCTCCTAAGTTTCATAGTGACATATCCTGATGTAAGTTGATTTGTATTCGGTGTCCCGGGTAGTTTGTGTCCTTTCAGTTCAGAGACTCATAACTTCTTCAGTTTGGGGCACTTTTCTCAAAGGCTTAACTGTTGATTTTCTCTGTTGTCTTTTTCTGGACCTTCTGTTACTTGCCATTGGACTTCCTGAACTGCCATTCTGTTTTCCATTATCATTTTTCTTATTTTACTTTTTGACACTCTAGTGTCTGGGCTTGTTATTCCATCCATTCCTTTTATTGAGTTTTTGTTTTCACCTATCTTGTTTTTAATTTTCTTTACTTACTGATTTTCTTTTTGTATGCTTGTATGTACATATTTTAGAGCTGCCGTGAATTATTTTAATTTTGAGCGTTTCGTATTTTTGGACATGTTTTGGGTATTTGGGGAGAAGTTTTCTTCTCTTTGTGTGATCACTGCCCTGCAAGTTGTTCATTTCTGTTTTTTGTTTGTTTGTTTGTTTGTTTGTTTTTGGTCTCTCAATTTTGCTTTAGAGACTATAAAGTTGCCAGGAGGCACTTGGCTTATTGCATTCATTTAGGAGTAAAATTTTGATTGGAAACTCTGAGTGCACTCAAAACTTGTCAACCAGGAGTTTCACCATAAGCTGATCATAGGAAACCACCCACATCAGTATCTTTAGGCATCTACTTGAGTCAGACTTTGTCAGCATTGTGGGAACTAAGGAAGGAAAGATGGTCGGTGGTCTCAGCATCCTATATGCACGTGTTTATCTAATCTCATTTATTTACCTTCAACAATGCCGTTTCTTCCTCCATCTCCCATTTTTCTGTCCTTCTAATCCAGAGGCTCTCTCTTTTACTCTCTCTGGAAAATATATCTCCGGTTATTGGAGGAGAAAGGCAGAAAGCCCCAGGTATGTAGAGTGGGGGAGACCATCTGTGGATTTCATTGCAGAAAGGATTGCAGCATGGTCATCCCTGGGGGTGCATTCTCATTCTCTCTTTCTTCCCTGCTCCACTGCACCCCTACTCCCATTTCTGCAGTGAGCACACATATCTCTATAGCAAACAAAACAAATGAAACAAAAAAAGCCCAAAACTTGGATTTTATTTTTCAAAAACCAAAATCTTTCAAAAGATGTACTTCCTCACCTACAACTTCTTTATTTTTGGTCTCTAAGCTCTCTCTCATCTGCTCTGCCTTTTATTGGCTTGCACAGCCCAAACTGAAGTTCTTGGAGCAATCATGGGAGGCAGCTGGTTGCAAAGAATGAGTTAGTTATGGGAAGGTAGAAAAGTATGGGAGGTTGACACTCTGTAGCTTATCATATCAGATCCTTGTCATGCTTTCAGCAAGACTTACATGATTATCCACCCTCTTAGTGGCTTGGGATTAGAGCAACTTCTTAATAAGTTCCTGGTTTTCCTTCAAGCCCAGTAAATCCAATCATGAATTGGTTCCAACATCACTAGACTTAATTGTCCTCTAAAAGAAGACTATAATGGGCCATACCTGTGGCCTACTGGTCAAGAGAGCCAGATCTTACATGGCCAACTGTTGTTCAAATTCCAACCTTGATGACTTGAAAAACATGTTAGTCGTGTGTGTGTGTGTATGTATGTGTGTGTCCAAAATCCTGGAGAAAGGATTGTGGCATGACCACGCCCCTTTAGGGGTGCTTTTCGTGTTTCCCTCCCTCCCTCCCTCCCTCCCTCTCTCTCTCTCTCTCTCTCTCTCTCTCTGGCAAGCACTATGCCCTCTGACAATTAAAAAAAAAAAATTAAGAAGGACTATGCCTTTATCTTCTTAGCTACAAAAAGAGGGATCCCAGGGGTGATCATTCTGATTTAAGAAGTGGGATGGAAATTTTAGAAGCAAGTAGGAGAGAATGACTGCCTGTCTGATGGGTTTTCAGCAGTTCTTAACGTGCCTTTCAGTATTTCTCCTTCAAGTATCTTTTCTAATGACTTCTAAACTTGAATTACACCAAAATTAAACTTGTTTTTTCCTTAAGGCCTCCTTTTTAAATTCAGAATTAGTGAAGAGATTGATAAAACTAGCCTCTATTTTTTATTTTTACTGGAAAAGCACTTTGGAAAGTGTTTAGTCTGCTGACCAATATGGGCATCTTAATATTTCAACCCTGAGTTTGACATCTTATCTACTCACTGTCCAAATTAAACAACTATAAACCACTCCACCGTTGTCTAACTCTCAAAAACAAAACAAGAAAGAGAATAGTAACTCCTACACAGGAGTTTGTAAAGTGGCTGAAAGAGAGGTGTTATTCTTTTTATTTATTTTATTTTATTTTTTTGAGAGGTTTTTGCTATAGGGTGCGTGCGCTCGCCAGAGAGACAGAGAGATAGAAAGCGAGAAATCACCCCCCAAGGGGGATGGCCATGCCGCAATCCCTTCTCCGTTCTCCTGTCGGGATCTTGGGCATGCATGCACGTGCCCAGTGTGAGTTTAAGCCACCGGGTCCGGGACTACGTGGTCGACTATGTAGGAGTCCAGCGACATAGCCATTATGCTAACTGCTGGTCCCAAGAGAGGTGTTATTCTAATGGAAGTTTCTCCTGACAGGAACACAAGTAGAGAAATGTGTCCCATGATATAAGGTATTATTAATTCCCCTTAAAATATGCCATCAATTTATAGCAGATGCTTAAGGGGGAAAAGTACTATGTTAAATCAGTTTGTTCAAAACATTAAGATTTCAGAAACATTAAAATGATTTCCCATATTAGAAGGGAGGAAAGTATAACAGTCATGTTTTCTTTTGACAAAAACCTTTTCTAAAGTTTTGACTAAGTAGAGTGTACACCTTCACCTGGGGTGGAGAGCCCAAATTGCAGCCCCAGCCCTGTTACAAGCTAGCTGAAATACTTGGTGCCACTTAACTTTTCTTGCTGTTCGTCTGCTTGAGGAGAAATGGCAGACCAGCTAAACATATAAAAAGGATGGGGCGGAGGACAGGACTTGAACTTCCATAGCTAGTTCAGGGTAGAGGGGACTAAAACCCAGGTGTCTTCT